GGGGGGGGGGGGGGGGGGGGGGGGGGGGGGGGGGGGGGGGTGCTTGAGAGAAGCAAAGCGTAAACGTATGTTTAACAACACATTAAAATACAACTGAATGCAGGAAATGACATCTACTTTATTCAAAATTTTTATTCAAAAAAGAATAGACCCCCCCCCCCCCTGCTTTTTGCATTCCAGCATTCTTTGATTTACAAATTAAGCACTGGATGCTAGTATTTAGTTTGGTTTAGGTAATCTTACCTGGTTAAGTGTGAGTTTCTGGCCAACGTTACTTCCTGTTTTATTTTGAAAAGCCTGTCCTTTAGTCAGTTAGGCCCAGCTTCCTCCACACACCTGGTCCTAATTAGTTAATCACCTGCCTGGGCTTTATTCCCTTGTCTCAGTATATTTAGATCCCTTTTGGTATCACAGCCAGATCTGCTGTGTGTTCCTCCAGGTTGTGCTCAGCTTGTCAGTTTCGCTTTAAGCTTAGCTCCCTTTATGCTCGGCCTTCTGGATTACACGTGTTTGTCTAGTTCGTTTTCCTTTATTTGATAAAGCAGGTTTTCACCTGCACCTGCCCGCCTGTGACCTTCACGTTTTGTTTTTTTCTACTTTCTTCATGAACTGTGACTGAGTGCATCATTTACTGCACCGACAAATGGTGATAAATAGCGTCTCTGCCTCTTCCACCACAACTGAGTGAGGCATGCTGCCAAACACACTTCTCCAGAAACTTTAACTTCTGCTAATGTGGTGTAATTTTTCAAAGAACCACTGAGGCACTAATTAAAATGTTTGAATCTGTTTCTAACAACACAATATTCACTGGAGGGAACATGTTCTTGGCCTAGTGTTTTAAAGAAGAAATGAGACTATTGAAGTTGTGCAGAAACTTCAGTTGTGTTGCATTTTAAGAGAAGTTTAATCTTACTTTTCCAACCTATTTAATAATGCCTGTCACCACAGGCAAGACGGCCATAATATGCCCCTTTTCTTCCATTATTACTCACACCCAACTCTGCTCAACCCGCCATGGAAAGATCCCTATTCCACCAGTACTTTTTAGCGGACTCGAGGCTGATGCGACCCTTTTATTGTCCCTGCTTCTCTAGTGGGACCGTTCGAGCTGAGTCTGGACATAAACGTGACGTCAGAACACTGTCGGTCACTGATTGGTCAGGGGGAGGAGTCACTGGATCCCTCTCAGAAACTTCACCGATCCACCATTTACAATTTCACGGAACTCGGAGCAGCGGTTGGATCTATTTTTAAGATTTTAAAAACAATAATGACAACGCCGTGTTTAACGCTGAAGTCCTGGCGTTTTTTGTGTTTGGTGACCGACGACATAATTTGAGCTAGCTAGTCACCGCGGAGGATCACACGACCCGTTGAAACACGCGAGGCCGGACCCCGAGCCCTGGCAGGCGGAAGGACCGGGACGGAGGGTGGAAAGTTTTTTCTAAAAACATTTTATGTATAAAAAATAAAGTTTTTTTCGGTGAAGAATAAAAATCAATTAATGGTGTCGGCTTTATCATGAAATCCTGTTTTCACTTTGACTTTATTAAATAATCTGTTAATTAAAGTTAAAAAAGCTGAAAAATCATAAAAAGGCAAAATTATTGGATCTCTTGGGAATATTTCCCTCAAATATGTTTAAAGAAGAGCTACAGCCTTCAGTTCCAACTTTATTCTAACCCACAGATGTACAAATCACAAAACAAGAATTACACTTTAAATCAAAGCTGAAATAAAATCTGTATACAAGAAACAAAACCGCAGATCTAAATCGAACAATAAAAGTAGACATGAGTGCAATATCTTGTGTAGCACTGGATGGATTTTAATGAAACTCAGAAAGTAATCATGCATTCTACATCTACAGCTAATTAACATTTAGATCCAACACAATCCAAGATGTCTACCACAACCAACTGAAATTAGGAAAAACAAAAAATACTATAACTCAGCCTATTTTACTGATATAGAGCTAGTATTTGGTGTGGTAGTATCAGAGCATAACCCCCAACATGTACCTTGAGTGCTAACAAATTGGTTGAGAAGTTAATCCTTTCTGTCTTGTAACAAAATATCTCATGACCCAATAGACAAAGTGTAATAAAACAAGCAAAAAGTAATCATGGGAAGCATATTGTCACTCTAACTTTTGACATTGTTTTAATTTGAGATGGCCACAGCTAATTAATTTTAGCAAACACAAAAATGGCTATAAAACGTAACATGTTGCATCATATTACATTATATTGCATCACATCCTGTGAAATACGAATTCATCCTACTTGCACTGTTATATTCTACCATGTTGTTTACTATATTTCCTTTGGACCTTGTAAATATTATATTTCTTTTTCACTTTTTGGTACTTTATTTTGCACCCTTATAGCATGCTTTTTTCTTTCTTTTTCTTTTTTTAAGCAAGTTTAATTAGTTCTTCTCATCCTGAACATTTCATTGCGTTGTTGACCTTGTGTTAATTGGCATATGACAAATATGACAATTGCTATTATGCACTTTTAAACCAGACTTTATTGACTTGCTGAAAGGCTGAAAAACACAAACACATGTGCATCGTCTTGTGGCGTGTCTATTTATTTTAGATTTTTAAAAATCTTTCAGGAAAAATGCTTTCCAGGTCATAGCTGTGGACGGAGTTTGCAGCGGCGTCGTGCAGTTTTCCACAGCGGACGATTGCTTGGACTGGCTTCAGGCGATAGCGAGCAACATTTCTAGTCTCACCAAGTACAATGTGAGTACAAGTACTTTGTAAAAAACATCAGCAGCTCTCAGTCCCACCTTTAAACCTGCATGGGTTTGGGCCTGCTGTCAACAAAGCTTCTTACAATTTTGTTGATTGCCCAATTTTACCTTTGCAGATGTGTCAGTGTAGTATCATATAATGTGTCTTCACACTCATCTCCAAGTCTGAGATGGTAACAACAGCAATCCAACTGAGCAACGCACAACCTCACCAAGCTAACATTACACAGTCACCATACATTACAAGATAATGACACCCCAGTGCAGGAAATACACTGTAATTTTGTTTATTTTATTTTTTTATGAATACGTTTGCAGCAGTTCTCAGCTGATGTGGAAAAATGCTTTGCATATTTGTGTTTGAAGATGAGCCATGACACTCAGCAGGGGTATCAAATACAAAAAATGCTAATAAGGCCTATCAGTGACCAGGGCTCAAACAGAATCTCAGCGAGAAATGGTCTCATTGGGACACATTTAACACCACATTTGGAGTGTGCTTTGTTGCGGTTTGTGCAGGCTTAGAAAAAAAATATTAATTCTCAGAAAAAGAAGGATGTAAACAGCTTTTGTGTCGTCTCTCCTTGCGACCTGAATGTGGCAGCAAAAATAGGAGGATTTGTAATTATCATGTGGCCATGACAGTGGTTGTGAGTGTCTGGGGAGGAATAATGGAGCCCCGTTTAATTGGAGTGGACTAACACGGAACATAACACTGATGACTCACAGCCAGGACAGCCTCAACATTTGGAAATGTATTTCTCACTGCGGCCTTGGCGTTTAGTGAGGCGCAGGAGGAGGCTGGGTGGATGAAGGATGTGAGGATTTCTGCACAGAACCTCATCGTTTCACTGGGACTCGCTGAATAAAAAGGAGTGGCCTTTGTTTTAACGTTGTGCTTTTACTTTGTTTTACATCTTTATATTCATCTAAATTAATTGATGTTATTCTGGTTTTTTTTTGAGCTGGAAATCAATAATCTTATTTGATTGATTATGGTGCTGTTCTACTAGAATACCTAAAGATTGTAAGAGGTGAAAAAATAGAAAACAGGGTAAAATATTGTATTGCATTCCTTTAAAGCACATGTGCCAAACTCAAGGGCCACATCTTATCTGGCCCTCAAGATGATATGTTAAACATAAAACACTTTTATCACTTGAATTTTTTTAGTAATATTTGATTATGATGTCAAAAGTGCAACAGAGAGTGACGACTAAGACCAATCAAACTCTTATTGAGGAACCTGCAACCAAGAAAAGATGTTGGTTATCTATTTAACATGCATTACTGTAGATTCTAAAACTGGTCCTTAGTTCAAAAAATGTTTTAATTTTGGCCCCCTTATGTATGTGAGTTTGACACCGCTGCTTTAAAGGAATGCATGTCACCCACAGCCTCATGCAATGTTACATTTTCTTGTTTGATCTTGCACGATCTGTTAATGCTTCGACTATGTGTTGAGAATCACTGTCAACTACTACCACTCCAAACTTTAGTTCAATATCTGTAAAATTCACTGAGTTATACCAATTTTTGTGTATGCTCAACTGGATTAGCTGTGGCAGCCATATTGAATTGGATTGATTCCAAAAGTTGATCAGTTATCTTTGCACATCTAGGAATTAGACTCTGAGAGTTTCAATAAAAGCAGTCTAGTGGTTCATAAGATATTTTGCTAACAGACAAACAAGGTTGACTCCAACAGATAATGCAACAATTACAAATATAGATGTTATGGAATGCGTTGCTCTCAAAATATGCATTGTAGAGGATTCTCAGCTACCACCACACCAAATTTCAGCTCTGTTTATGAAAAAACTGGCTGAGCTGTTGCCATTTATGTGTTTTGTAAGATCATTTGACTATGATGGCCATCTGAACTTAGACTGTCTCCAAAAGCTAATCCTTGTGGATGTATATCCAATGATGTTTTTCTGAAAAGTTAATTAAAATCTGCAGTGGTTTATGAGATATTCTGTTAACGGTACACATAAAAACAAACTGGAACTAACTATTCAGCGAGTAATAAAAATCAGTTGACATGATAAAAAAAAAATTCTATGATTGTCAGTTCCTGTTTAATATGAATATTAAACAGGAATTATTTCAACAGAGAATAGGGTCCTGCTTTGCTTGTAGAGAGGTGCCACTTGTTTGAGCGATCTGTTTGCTTTCAAATATTTAACCTGCGTCGAGATAAAACGCGTCCATTTCTCTGAGCAATGATGGCAGATGAAAATGCACTCGACTTTCTGCGCCCCGCAAATTCCCATAAAGGCTCGGTGATGTTCTGGTCCAGCGGCTGGAGAGGCCGTCTCAGGGTTCATGAAACCCCTCTTGAATTTGTTTAGCGATGCATTCGAAGGCATCACGGAAAACATAATGAAAGGAAGTATTTGCTCGATTGCTCCTAACGACACTCACCAGTCAGCTGCTCGGCAGGGCAGCAGATATTGTGGGACATTTTTCTGCCGTCTTCCATCCAAACGCACTCGCAAATTACATCAAATGTTAGGATTCAGCTTCAATATGACTCATTAATAGTGAGTCATGACTTTTGTGTTCAGGCTCCTTGTATCAGTTTGCTTCTTTGTGTTTTTGACCTTGAGCATAGGTGTTTTATTTTTATTTTTATCCCACGTCTGCAGCAGAGCGCATCTCGAGCCCTTTCTGTTGAGACTTGGGCTCAAAGGTGCTGATTCAGTTCTGTAGTAATCTTTAAGGCTTTCCCTCAGTGGCATTCGTCTGTCTCAGAGTTAAGTGTCCATCAGTCCCGGTCAGTGAAATCTGGCTTGTGATCGCAGTTTGTCTTTACTGGTGCAGTTCTGTCACATCTGAGCGTGCTTTGATGTGAATCTTAGAGCAGAATTTAGAACAGGGTGATGTTTGGGCTCCACACAGGGCGACTCATTTACAATTCTCAGTGTGCTGTAAAGATAAGTCAGCAGTTTCCACATTGTACCTCTTGCATCATGTTCTAGTTGCAGAAGACACACACTCCATCACACCCCTTCCCCCCCATGTCCCCCCCCCCCCCTGAATGTATACAGTAATTAAACAACTCTGGAAACCTCCAGCTAGTCTGCACATTCTTCTGAACCATTCCAGTTTTCATGTAGATAACCTTAACGTTGTCTGTCTTTCATGTTGGTAGACAGTGATGTAATTGCATATGTGCATTTGTTTGCAAATAAAATATCTCGTGGACAAATTTGATTGAAACTCTTATAGTAGTCATTGGATGTACATCTCCAACTTTGGAGTCAACGTGATTCAAGATGGCCACCAGAGCTAAATTACATTAGCGGATATAAATATGGCGTTCATGTGTTTTTAAAGAAACTGAGCTAAAAGTTGTTGTGGTAGTAGTTAGAATAAATCTCAGCACATATTTCAAGCACTAACAGTTCACACAAGCTTTTAGCTCAAAACTTTGGCATTATGGAGTCAACTTGATCTGTCCGTTAGCAAAATATCTCATGAATTAGTAGATGGATTTTATTAAAATTCTAAGAAATTCATCTGCTGGAGATCTGAAACTGGTTAACTTTTCAATATGAACATCACAGCTAATCCAATTTAGGGAACACAAATACAGTAGGGCTATAACTCTGTTCGTTTTTCAAATATTAAGCTAACGTTTGGTGTTAGTAGCTGAAAGCCATTCTCAATGCATCCTCTGACTGCTAACAGATTGTATACATTTTGGTAAAAGGTACAAACACTAAATTGGCAGCACGGCGGTTTAGTGGTTAGCACTGTTGCCTCACAATAAGAAAGTGCTGCGTTTAATCCATGGTTTGTGAAGTGTTCATGTTCTCCTGGTGTTTGCAGGGGTTTTCTCCACATACAGTAGTCCCTCATTTAATACAGGAGATCTGTACCCTGAAGACCCGTGATAAGTGAAAAACCACAAGTAGGAATAGTAGTACAAGTAGTAAGTAGTAGTTTATTTTATTATTTAAATATATGTAGGCATTTTAAACCCTTCCCACCCTTTTGCAATATTCTAAACAATGTTTGTAAACTAAATGCTTTAAAAAAGCACAGAATGTCATGATTTCAGCTCCCTGCCTCCTCTGCTCTTTGCTACCTGGAAGCGCTCTTGGCCACGCCCACTTCTCCGCTCTGCAAGCTGAACAGCTGATCAGCTGCAGCAGGAAGTTTATCCTGCAGGAGTATGGGCTGCACAAAGCTGCAGGAGGAAGCTTTTTCTGCAGTTCTGGGCTGCACAAATGTGCAGCAGGTGCTAAATAATTCAAAATAATTTATTTTAAATAAAAATTCCCTGCCGATCATGCAGTTCATCCATCAGTCAGCCAATTGTGTGTCATGTCCAATCTTATTTTGAAAAACCACGATAAAGCAAGTCCACGATCAACGAATCGCCAAGTAGCGAGGGACTATTGTACTCAGGTGGTTTCCTCCCATAGTGGCGTTACACAGCTTTCAAGCCTCACTTACAAAAGAGATCAGTGATCTCAGAGGGATTTACCTGGTTAAATAAAGGTTAATAAATAAATCTTTGGCATGCAAGGTGGTCAGCCATATGCATTCCTTCAATGAGTCTTTGTTTTAATTTAAAAAAAAGTTCATATTAATTAGAAAGAAAAGTATGGTAAAGATACAAAAATAATGACTTTTTAAGGATGGATAAAATAATGATGAATCTGATTTTTAAGAAAACAAAACAAATCTATTTTCGTTGCATAAAAAATGCATTAATCCTCTCGAAGCATCACACGAACACATTAGTATTGGAAAGTATCCAAATAAATTTACTTTACTATCATTTTAAGTCGTCGTACTTGACTTGAGAGTGTAAAGGTTTTGATTTGTTTACAGCTTTACTTTTATCTGAACTTTTAAGCTCAAAGTAACAATAAAACGTGATCATAAAACAAAATACCCCATTGCAACAGATTTTCTGGCCTGACTTCTTTTCCACTGAAGAGTTGCTTATTTTTGCCTGAAAGTCACTTTTTGAAATTCCTTC